CAATGGGCTCATTTTACGAGCCATAAAAGTGTACCCTCTAACCCTATTTCTATCCTTACCGACTTCATAATTCAAACGATGAGAATATCTAAAGAACCTAAAAGTGAAGGTGACCTCAAGACTTCAACAAAAATAGTAAAAAAAATCCAAAACACTCCACCTATTTAAGTGAATCCGGATCACACTCGTGAAAAAATGATCAAATACTTTTACTATGAAACCAATCAAAGAGAAAGTAAATGCATACTCTAAGCATGTATATAAGAACAACAATATTCAAGTTTCCTTTAGCTATGCAAGAAAAAGGATATATCATTATGTCATTAGGTTGGGCTAGAATTAAAAGAAAATCCTTCATCAATAAATGATCACAAGCAATCGACCTTTGATCAAATACACAACTTGTTCCTCTTATAATACAAAAAGACATGTATATAGACTCACTTCAAGGAGGAGAGGACTCACCTATACTAGCGTTTGCACCTCTTATACACTTAAGAAGAAACATTCTTGAGATGGAGAGAAAACAAATAAAGATAAAAACAAAAACAAAGAAAATCGCTCTAGAAAATTTGAAAGAATGTCAAACGACTCCTTAGAATTTTTCAATAACAAAGTGTAAAGCAATAGTAGTAAGGAAAAAATCCTTCAACGTGGTCTATATATAGGAAAAAAAGGTCCCTCCCTAATCATGACGTGCCAAACCTAAAAGGTAGCCTTACATTGACATAGAGGTGAGCAAACGGTTCGGTTAATTGAAAACCAAATCGAATCAAATCGAATTATGTATTTTGGTTTAGTTTTAAACTTAAACTTATAAAATTAAAAACCAAATCGAAAAACCAAAATTATTTCAATTTGGTTTGATTTTTGAAAAAAAATCGATTTCCATTAAAAACCAAAAAAATTAAAAGTAAAAAAAACTCCTAAATACTAACTCCCTAAAATCCTAACCGGCTAAACTTCACTAAATCAAAATCAATTTTCAGCCGCACCTCTCCGGTTCCCTATCCTTCATTCCTTCTTCTTCAGCTTCTCCTTTATTATCGGACCTTCTACCACAACGAAGACAACAATTACAACATAGTCAACACCCACCTCTCTATCATTTTCCTTCGATCTCACAATCATGGTCATCACTCATCGGTCACCACCCAATCACCTAGCATTCTCCTCCTCCTATAATTCCGTGGCGCAGCCTTGTCATTGAGTGGATTGTTGAAATAAATCTACTAGGAGCTCGAGTCACAATAGGGATGGGTATTCCTCTTTGGAAAATTCCGAGTATGACACTATTGGATCCATAATTTCAACAAGGCATTTTCCTTTAACCATTAAATATATATTCTTTGGTATTGTTATTTACACTTCTTATTTAATTATAGATAAGATGATTTTATGGAATGGAACATGATGGAGGTTATGATGCATGGAGGAAAACTTCATTGGGTGCCACCCCTTTTGATTTTGACAAGACAGAGTCCATCAAGCCAAAAGGTCATTGTGTAGCTGTGCATGTGACGAGTGAGGATCGAGATGATGGGTTTCAGCCTATAAGCAAAAAAGTATAAGTAAGCCTCTTGGGGTCTTGACCAGTCATACCTAAAGCTCACCCATATTGAGTGACATGGCCTTGTAATAGGAATTGAGTTTTAAAAGCAAACCAAATGTGTGGGTTTACTTCTCTTTTAAAATACTTTTTATTGTCTATCTTTTGCTTTTTTAAAAAAATAATTATGTTGATAGAACCTTGTTTTTTCTAACTTTAGTGATTTAAATTATCATATGCAATCCGACGAAGGCATTCATAAATTATAAGATTCTCAATTTGATAAGCCTCGACTATCAACCGAAAAAAATTAAATAAAGTAGATGCAAGTTGATGAGTAACTACAATCAATTATCTTTTACAAGTTTAGTTTTTCATTTGCAAGACAATCAAATGAAAATAACTTGCCGTTGCAAGATGGTTTTAGGTCTCTGTGAGTTTGCATGTTGAAAATTGAAATAAAGCGAGTTTTAATTTCTTTTCTACTACACGAATTGTTAATGAAAATTTTTTGGACTACATTTTTGTGTTGGAATGATGATTGTAAAATTATTGGGGATGTTATACATTTTGAAAACCTTTACCTTGCTTTGTATATCTTGTTATGATAGTGATTGATGTTAGAAAATTATGATCTTTAATAGTGATTATTTTTCATCAATTCGATCTAACATTCGTTTCTTGCAGCTTCATTCCCAATGGCTTCTCGGCAAGATCAATAAGGAGATCATAGAGGTCAAATTAAGAACCGGGGTATTGCATTTATAGACTTTCTTAGTATAGGAATATCTTAATTATGAAAGATATTATTTAAGCTTCAGCTTTATCATCATGATGAGCATAATCTTAGACATCATCTTCCAATTTTTCCAATTAAAACAATGTTGGTCGGATGTCTAGTTCATATATATTTAGCATCGCTTGATGAGTTCAAAATAAGTAAAAAGAGAAGATAACTACATTTCATTTTTATCTATCATTTAGGACTTTCGATGTATCAACTATAATTAGGTAACTCGCAAAAGATATTTTCTATGTAAAGACTTTGTTTTCTTATTGTCATTTTTTTCATAGTAAATGGTGAAAATGGCGGTGGCTCAAGATAGACAATGGAACAATGGTGTGGAATTTTTTTTCAGTAAAATATTTTGAACCCAAACCAGAATAATTTGGTTACAAATCGAATTTACCAAATTTATTTTTGTTCGATTTTGATTTTTATTTTTCTTAATTCGGTTAATCAAAATTCAAATTGAATCATACAAAACCGAACCGTTTAGCCATTTACTCACCCGTACATTGACGTGCCAAAGAAACATAAGGCAATAAGTCGAGCTTGCAAGATGTTTATAAGAATAATAATTACTTTTCTTTGAAAGACAAGAGATGCAACTTTTTTTGACAATAGAGGCACCCTTTACAAACAATTACTCTTCTTTTACTTAAAATAGCCAAATTTGAAGTGCGAGAATCTCAAAAGAAAAGACTATTGATCAATCTAAGCCAAACAAGACCGTAATGAAGAACACTAAAAATCTTCCTCAATGAAGCAAAGCACCACATGAAATACCCCAACTAGTAGTTTTCAAGTCTAGGCTAAATAAGGTTGCTAAGATTTAGGGGGCGAATAATAAAGATAAACTCATCAAGCTTGTCCTAGAGTTGCCTAACAAAAAAGGCCCATGAACATACAAGTCTAGACCTACAAAGATTAACCTGAGCTTATAAGTCATTGCATGGGGCAATCTGCTAAGACAAGCAAGCCCAAAGTCTTTAAAGGACAACTATCTCTTATAAGACGGGTCGCCTCTCGAGAAAAGTTTAGGAATCCTCTTATCCTAAGGCATCATGGGCCAAAAAAAAAAAAGGACACCAATCACCTCCATCGACGCCATAGGAAAATGATGTTTCTATTATTTTCATCATGCAAGTCGCACATGCAATTGCCTATATAAAGGCTCAAATCATCAAAAAGAAAAAAGTTTGAATCTCTTACCGAGAAATAATACCAAAATAGATTCCGTATCATGTACATTTCTGTTTTATCTATAATTTACTTAGAAATAGTTAAATATTTTCTTCAAAAGAGCCTTTTCGGACCAATTTATTACCTTTCGACCACTAACTTAATTGTCGGATGGTCTATCACTTAATAAAAAGACTTGTTTTGCAAGTATCTAGTGCGAGAGAAAACATTTACTATGCTTAATGATCACCAATAACCATCACCTTCTACGTGAGTCACGTTTCTTAATTTTACTAAACGAGCCGATCAATGACTCATCGGTTATGATAAATGAATACTTATAATACATAGGGCATAATCAATGTCATAGATAAGGCGTGATTTTCTCTATGGTGTCACAAGGAAAAAAAAAACTCATTTTGAATTATATATTTTTTATTACTTGTGTTGTATTTAAATAGATACTTCAAATGTAATGATTTTTTTTTCTTTCTCAATTTGAAGATGAAGTCAACGAAATATATGGAGATACAAATTTACGCTAGCTCTCTCTTCTCTTTTTAATTTATTTCCCTCTTGTTTTTAATTTATGGCTTAATCACGTAAAGACAAGTTTTCAAGGAGGGTAAGAAGGATACAAAAGGTACAAAACTTGAAGAGATTGCGCAAGGTGAGGACAGCAGATGGATTCAAGAAGTAGAAGACTCTTACCCGCTAAATGAATTAAAGAAGTGTGGGCTTCGAGTAAAAGAATTTCAATTTTTGTTTGACTCTGAACAATGAGTTCCACGAGGATGGTTTTTGACCATCGTTAAGGATGTAAATAACAATTCAATTCAAGAACTTTGGCATTTAGTTAAGACTCCAAAAATGAATAAATCACTTGATAAGCATTAATTAGTAATATACGTTCGCTCTTTTTGGACTGGGATTGCTTTAGATTCTAGAATATGAAATTACAAGAATTTCAGTATCAAGATAACAATTAATTGAAAACTCTTCCATCCCAGACAAAAGTTAAAACAATAAAAGGTAAACAGATATAAACTGGGTATGACAAAGTGGACGCAGACCTAGTAAGGAATGAGAACGTGACCCTTTTAACAGAAATGAGCAAGTGACTCTTAACAAGGACCAATAAAGGGATTAGTAATTTTTTATGAGTAGGGTACATGATTAGCTTTAATGAACTGGGTACCCGGCTTATTGGCCTGCATCTGATGAGATTGTCAAAACATAGATGCTCAGCCCACGGGGCTAGCCCAAGTAATTCAGTTTTTAACATTCAGAAATCTAACGTATCACCTGGAGGAAATTGAATTGATTCACCATTTTGAGTAAACCCCAAAACAGCTTTTGCATAAAACTCAAATAAAAGACAAATCAAGACTACTGTAGGTTAAAAAATTTAATCCTTGAATTGTGAAGAGAGATTTATATACGCATGAGAAAACAAGAGATCTGAATCCAGGATCTAGTAGGATATTAATCCCAAGCACTGGCCACGGCTGGATTGTACCCACCACTGTAATAACCAGGAACCCCATATCCACTGCTACTAGTGTTCCCTCCACCATAATAATCTGTACCCTTGTTAAAATTGCTCTCCCTTCTAAAATCACGGCCACCAAAACGGGCTCCCCCAGTGCGCCGATTCTTGCCACCACTAAATGAAACCCGTGAAGCATAACGAGTGAGCCAGGCAGGTACTTCTTGATTTGCTTCTTGCATTAGATCAGCTAGAGGTCTTGCTAATGACAAATTATTCTCATTAAAGAAAGCAGTCGCCAGACCTGTTTTCCCAGCCCGTCCTGTTCGCCCTATCCTGTGAACATAATCATCAATATCATTTGGAAGATCAAAATTCACCACATGAGCCACATGGGGTATATCAAGACCCCTTGCTGCCACATCTGTCGCTACTAGAATTGGCGTCTTCCCACTCTTGAATGATCTAAGTGCCATTTCTCTTTCCTGAATACCAACATAGAGATGATCATATTGAAGACACATAGCTAGTAATAGCATAGTGCAAGCAAACAACAGAAGAAAAGGCAATTAAACAAGTTGGAGCAATTCTTCACTCTCTAGATATTTATTTTTTTATTTTTATTTATTTATTTGCATCAAGAGTGAAGAATGCCATCTGTTCTTTTTCCCAAATCATAATATACTTTCTCAAAGTTTACCAAAGAAAGGAAGTCTAAACTACCATATGCCCTTGAATCATCCTTATAAAAACATTATCCTCAAGCCTGCTTGAGCTCATCGATTTATTGGGCATAAGTAAAAATGCTGGAGAAACAAAGTAAAAAAGACATTCCACACTCCTATACTTACTAATAAACCCAAATCTGGCAACTTACCTGTTGTGATCTATCTCCGTGAATTGATGTAGCAGGAAATCCATTGACATACAACCAATGTTCCAAAGAGTCAGCTCCCTTCTTTGTCTCCACAAAAACCAATGTCAGAGAATGCTGCAATTTAACAAAAATCTGTTGTCATTATATTACACTTTTTAAAAAGGTTTTTTGTTTGGTGGCTGTTTGTATCTTTTCATTCCTCTCTTTTCTCTCTCATTCCCGCTATCTCCCTCTCTTTATAAGACACGTCTCACCTTTTCCTCAATTTTATCCTTTCAGGATATGAATTAAAACCTTCTACCCTCTTGTCATTAGATGAATCAAATACAAGGGGATAAATTTGAAAATTTAATGAGGTTGGCAGAGACAGACTCGTTTTCCTTAATAGATATGAATAAATCAAATCACCAGTAATTTTGGTAGAGAACAGATTAAATCATATAAAATTGTCAGTCAGCAAGTTGTTCATTGTACCTTGCCATTAACTTCAGTTTCTCTCTGAGCGTGAAGAAGGTCCATGAGATGACTTCTCTTGTCAGTCTCAGGAACATATTCAACTCTTTGAAGAATTAAATCAGTACTCGAACCGACCCTTCCGACGGCCAAAAATATGTAACTTGAAAGAAAATCAGATGCAAGTCTCTGCATGTCAGCCAAATTGCAAAAAGAAAAAAAAATCAGATGCAATTGAAATGGCAGCCTTCAATGGAAATCAAAAAGCAACCTACAGCCCATGAATGGTTATCGCCTACAAAGACTATGCAATAAATACAAGATAGCAATAGTGTTCCTAACAGAACCAAAAAGGTACATCCTGCAACAAGACAAGAAACTTTAGCAGTCAAGATACGTCATACAATAAGTTAGCAGCAAAATAATATCATATATATATACACACACTGAAAAAAATAACCTCCAACACTTTGATAACCAAGTAGAATATTCAGACATATCAGTATATCAATGACTGAGCTTAACAAGAAAACATGTGGAAACTAACACAAACAGACCAGCAACTAAAACAAACCTGTATTTCTTTAGGAAAAGTTGCACTGAACAGCATTGTCTGTCTCCTGCCACAAGGAGGCATGTCCATCTGTTCCACTATCTTTCTAATCTGAGGCTCAAACCCCATATCCAGCATCCTGTCTGCCTCATCAAGTGCCAAATATCTGATCATGTGCAAAGACACTCTGGCCCTCTCAAGCAAATCCACTAACCGTCCAGGAGTTGCCACAAGAATATCAACCCCTCTCTCAAGTTCTCGCAGCTGACCAAGCAATAAAGAGATAGTGAACAATTAAACTAGAAAACAAGTACTCTTTTGAGACACCGTAAAGGCAAAATAAAGCTGAAAGGTCACAAAAGGCATCATGATATGAAGAAAAACATACATCTGTGTGTCCAGCAATTTAATTGCCTGTGATGCTGTAAAAGTAAGTATAACCATTGCCATTGCAATTCCCCTAGTGAAGTAAGGTTGCTTCATGGTAAAATTTTAAAAAAGTTCTATCATGTCCCTTAAACAGTCCCCTCCCTGGTTACCAGCTCCCTTGCACCAAAAGGTTCAAGCTAAGGTTGCATTTGGTATGGGGATAAAATGTTACAAGAATAAATATTATGTGTTATTGGCAAGATAGAGGTATGGTGGTAGTACTGGTGGTGGCTATGGCAGTTGGGGCGGTCATAGTGTGGGGTGGTTGTAGGTGGTGGCAGCATTGCAATAGCAGTTTGAATCCCCTTTAACCTAGACCCTGTGAGCCAATACTATCCTTTTTAACAACCCCCAGACAATCACTACCACTTGGGCACTAGCAAATCACAGTCAATCCACAAAGGTTAAAATGATCTATGAGCTAAATGAGCATATTGGATCCTTAAGATAATAACTTCCTCACATCAAGCAATCTACAGAGAGACACTTGGTTCTAGTCAAAGTACATGTCAATAAATGACGACTGACTATCTGAAATGCAACAGCAAAATGGGGCATGCAGAATACTGAAAAGATCAAGACATATGGAGAGAGCATCACGGAAACAAGTGATAAAATAGTCGAAATAATTCACTGAGAAGCATCCCCAGTAAGCACACATAATAACAAACCTGTAAGGGTGCTTAGAAATATGAGGTCAATGAGCCCATAAAGAATTGGCTAATGGTAATAGTCCAAGTACATTGTGGTGAAAATAGGTAAGGAGGAATGGTAATCTCCTCAAAACCATCACAACACGGTCTTGAAGGCATGTTCTAGTGGATAAAGGGGAAAAGAAAAAACCTGGAGTGTAGAGGAAGAGCACCTGCTGCCCAGAATATTTCAAGTATATGAGACATTTATTATCACCTATAAAATTTTTTAAACAAAAAAGCAAAGCACATAATGGCTGACATTTTTGAAGTTTCCAAACATTAATGCAAGGCTGCATGCATATTCACATTTCCACATAAATCATATAACACATTAATAGGAAATTTCCAAATCAATGCAAGTCAAGTAAGAATCATCAGAAGAATGGGCAATTGATCTGGCCATTTTGAACATGGTTCAGACTGGAAATTAGGTGATCTGTCTATTCAGGTACATCCAGAAATAAATCCATGTAACTGGACTGGAAGATATGTGTGCTGCTAAGGAGAACGTTCCTTCATTTTTCTACTATTATTGCCACTGTATTTTCCCATGGTTTTACCAGTCATCTAAGCAATTTCCAATGAAGGAGTTATCATTCAGAATAATAATGCAGAAACGAGCTATAGCTATCAGTTTAAAGTACAGTGTACTGGGTAGGAAACCCAATCCCAAACGCCCTCATGTTGCCACATAGTAGGGACAGTGGGCACTAGTGGGCTCTTGTCTTATCTATTTCCCTCTAACATAATCGAGAGCATGCAGGATATAAAAGAAATGCATCAATTGAGAGAGTAATTTCCACTGAGAAAACCTTTTTTTAAGGATAATGGATACAAGAAGAAAAGAACCATATAAAAGTTATCATGCGTTAATACAAAAACAAGAACTAATGTCATGTGACTCAAACCTGTTGGTTGATTGGAGCGCCTCCATAAACTACCACCACCTTGACACCAGTTTGATAGGCAAACTTTTTGGCTTCATCATGTATCTGAAGTCAGATTGCAAGTAAACAACAATAAGAAAAACGAATCATATAAAGCCATTGCATGTTCCAGAATGCACATAACTAGCCTGAAACAAAATAACACCTGACAAGAAAGCTCCCTTGTAGGAGAAAGAATAAGAGCCAGTGGGTACACTGTCCTCCCCCGTGCGGTCTCTGTACATACTGCTCCCGCATGATTCCAGCAATAATTGGAAAGCAAAAGGCAGCTGTCTTCCCTGACCCCGTCTGAGCACAAGCCATCAGGTCTCTCCCAGCAAGCAATATTGGGATTGCATTACGCTGAACTGGAGTCGGCTTCACATACTTACACCTCCGTATATTCTGATTCACTGCCTCCCCCAAGTCTATCTCCACAAAGGTGTTCACAGGTGGTGGCACATTTTGCCCACTCGTCTCCACCGGAATATCCTCATACGCGTCGAAGTTAATCCCTGTATTCTCTTGCTCAACAAAAGCCGGCTCTACGTCACCATCATCACCAAATGGATTCACCTCACGCTCCCTCCCACGGTCCCACCCACCACTTCTATTATTCCAACCACCACCACCACCTCCTCTACCACCAGAACGCCCATAATCAGGTCTCGAACCACCACCACCCCATCGAGAACCACCTGCAGGCCCAGCATAACCTACACGATCATTCCCTAGTGACGGAGCAGCAGGTGGTGGAGCCAAAGAATCAGAAGATGGCGGCAGGTTACGAAGGTGTGGCGGAATGTAAGTGGCACGTGTAGGACGTGGACCAGACAAAGCTGGTGCTGCATTCTCAGAAGCAGAGTTAGCCACAGAATCTGCCCATGAAGTTCTCATAATTGCTAGCAAATCACAACGAAATCACAGCTGGAAAAAAATCCAATTCCAGAGTGCCAAAATTCCCTAAAATTAAACATCAGAAACTTTATCAATCGCAATTGCAAGTAAAATTAAACCTCTAATAAAATAAAATAAAAAACAACAACAAATGCCATTGAGCAAAATTCTAAAAAATAAATTAAAGAAGCAAAAAATTTTACTAATTGTGATCAGATAATGAGTTTATCAAAAACGAAGCGAAATAGTTAGAAAAAATGCGATTACTTAAACAAGAGAGAAAAACTAGGGTAGCAAAATTGGAAAACAAAAACCTAAATTGAACTCATGAGAGAGGTAGAGAAATGATTGAGTTTGGAGAGAGAGATACCTGACTTGTTGCGTTAATTTGAGTTTAAAATTCAAATGAAGAAACCCTAGTTCGCTCTTCCTTTTCTTTTCTCTCTTTTTCTTACGATTATTATCGGGATCCGACACGAAGCGAAAATATCGTCCTCGATGTTCTCCTCTTTTATAGCTGGTTTATTATTATTATCTCAGAGCGGAGATTTAGTCTTTTCTTCTTTTCTTTTTTTTTTATTGTTATTGTTTTTCAGAAAGACGGAATGGGGAGAGACTTCATGTGGTTTGCGTTTTTTTTTTTTCAAAATCATATCAACGCCGTGTCTTACGTGTTTGCTTTCTTTTTCTCTTTCTACCCCGTAGCAATGAGTATCCATGTATCGAGTTTGCATGTCCATCTGCAAAACTATATAAGAAATTTTGATATTCATGAGATTTTGAATATTCGTTACTAGAATATTATTTAGACTAAATTATTCAAATTTACTCTGAATTTTAGATTATTTAAGAATTAGTTGTGAATTTTTTAATTTCGAATTGAATATTTTTTTAATTATTTTTTATTTAAAATTGATTTTTTTGTCAAGTTTCTATCGATTTTAAAAGTGTAAGTAGTTTTGGAATATACGTGATTGATTTTTTAACTTTTCAATTAATTAATCAAAGCTGATGAATATTTTGTTATTTTCTTAAAACTTGTTTTGTTCCTTATAAAATGTTTTTAATTTGCTTAAGAGGAAATAAACAAATTTTAGAAAGAAAAAACAAAGCTTCTATAAATTTGATATATTTTTAACAACTAAAGAGTTTTTTTTACATATTAAAATTAATGAAAACCTAACAGACTGGCTTAATTTTAAATAAAAAATAGTTAAAAGTGGATCTAGTTTAAATTAAAAATTAAAAACCGATTACCAAATGACTTCAAAATCAGGAAAAAAAAAATGTACCGTTTGGCCTGTTAATTATTGTCTTTGCCTTGTTTGTTTCGTGAAAAGTGGTTCCAAGAAATCATTTTCCACACTTGGTGCAATTTAGGAAAATTAATCCAAAAAAAAAAAAACCATTTTTCTATCAACTTAAAAAATAAAGACCAGCGAAAGGAAAGTGTTTTCCCCTTCTCGGTAGCGAAAAACACTTTCCTTGATGGCTGAAAAGGTTATTTCTTGAATAAATTATAATTTAGTGTTTGAATTTTGTGATAATTTTATAAGTTCGTCCGCTTTGATCGTAGTTGATTGAAATTTATAATATAAAAAAAATCCTAAATAACCCTTTTTAAATGCAATTTTAATTTTATCTACAGTAGATAAGATTGGAAATTTTGATTACGAATGAAATATTTTTTTTTAATAAGCTATTTAATTGTGATGAAAAAGCAACAAAATGCCCCAGGTACATTTAAATATGAAAACATAAAGACTTAATGTTATTTTTTAAAAAGACAAAAAGACTAACTAATTATTTTATTATATTTAAAATTTTAAGTTAATTGTATTATAAAAATGGTTAAAACAAAGGGAAGCACTTACAGTATGCTACATATGTCATATAAACTCTTTTTTTAAAAAAAAAATTATAATACTGGTAAGTTATTTTCTGTCTAACTTTTTAGGACACAACCAAACAATGTAAAAACTTTTCCAATTCGTTTTTTATGACACACCCAGATAAAAGTAATCCCTTTCTTATGTGTCCATTTTCCAAAAACAATCCACTTTTTGACAGACAAAAGAAACTTTTGTGTGTGTGTATATATATGCATACATATTAAATCTTTAGCTTTTTTATAAGTTTTAAGTATTTATATATTTTTATAAAAAATTATCTTGATTGCTTCCATATAGAATATGTGAATTGTTGTTTTTTTAGCTGATAATATCAAAATTAATAACAAATTAGTATTTTATTAAAAATCAAATTAATTATACAAGTATTGTTATTATTAAAAACAAACTCCCATAATAAATATAATTACACTAATTACTTACTTATTTGGAATGTACTTGATAAAAAACAAGAAAAACTTATATATATATATAAGTTTTTAAGCAATGAAAAGTATCTCTTTACACTATCTCTGAAAAACTCTCTTTAATTATAAAAGTATTTGCTGTTTATAATTGTGGGACGTGTTTTTCAGAATTTTTTTTAATCTATTGTTTGCATTATAAACTTATGATGGATATTTGCTTGAGAAGCATAGGAATTCTGTTTTGGACTTTTGGTCTCTGTTTAGAAGCATATGGACTCTTGTGGTTATTCAAAAGCATACGTACTCGTATGGATAAAATATATTGTGATTTTGTCGGTCGATTTTTGGAATCGTTCGCCACCTGAAAAGCGTGTAAGACTTAAGTTCACAACTATTATAATGTTGTTCGTTATGTGTTTGACTTTGAAGAGTTGCTTATATCAGATTCTCTAGAGCGAATTTATGGTATAACGAAGCAATCAATCATTCTTTGTACACTTTTTTTTAAAAATAATATTTTGATGTAGCAAAATGTTATCTAAAATTGGTTTTTTTCACGTTTTTCCTACCTCTGTAGAATGTTCTCAACATTTATCCTTTATATCAAGGTTTACTAGAGGTTGGCATTTCAGATTGTAAAGTCACTGTTGGTCAATATTTTTATAATTGTGGGACTGCAGCAAGTGCAGTAATTCCTTTTATGTTATTATTATTGTTATTTTGCATTATCAATGTTTGTTGTCTTATACTTTCTGAGTTTAAGGGCTGTGATTATTTGGTGTTAGTAAAAAGCACCAAGATGGCCACCATAGATTGCGCAAGGTGAACTTTTTTAGGATTTTATGGTATTTTATGCTTTTGTAATTTTTCTTTTAAAACATTTTAAAAAAAATATCATTGTAATTTTTTGAATCATTTATCTTTTTTTTATTATTATCATGCAAATTCTTTTCTCTTTCTTTTTTATACTTGAGAATTTTTACTTAGTTTATTCTTATTGCTTTTTAATCCAATTGCTATTGCATGTATACCTGCTGAGTTTAAGGGCTAGGATTATTTGTTGTGGGCAACGAACGCTAAAATGAGCCACCATAGACAGCACAAGGAGAACGTTCTTTAGAATTTTATGGTATTTTATGCTTTTGTAGTTTTTCTTTTTAAACATTGTTTTAAAAATGCCATTATAATTTTTTGAATTCTTCATTTTTCTTTCTTTATTTCTTAGGCAGATTTTTTTCTCTTTTCCTTTTACACTTGAAATTTTTTACCTAGTTTATTCTTCTTGCTCTTTAATCCAATTGCTATTGCATATATAATAGGCTAAAATATTTATGTTTATGTTTTTGTCTCGCTTTCTTCCTACTACTCTTTAATCCAGTTGCTATTACATGTGTAATTAGCTAAAATATTAATGTTTTTATCTCACATTGAAAATCTCTTCAGTCTCTTCCACACCATGAGCCTTTAAAGTTTTTGTTATTGCTAGGTCGGGGATAAAGCCGGTAGCTAGGTCTAGTTCTTCATCAAGTGATATTTCAAGGATGGCTTTAAGGTGTGACGCTCTTGTCACCGAGCTTTAAACCACTAGAGACAAAAGATCATCGCCCTTCTTTTTAAAAATCCAGAAGGCTCTTCTTTTGTCTATTTATTGTTGCCAAAGTAAGTTGTTGTTGGAGAGGTCTGCTCAAGACAACGACTTTAGCAGTAAAAAATGTGAGAAAAAAGGGCTAGATCGAAGGCCATTTGTAGATGAGGGGAGAGAGAGGGGAGGATGAGGTGGTTGGAGGGAAGGCTTCCATGCCTTTTTTGCACTATCAAGACTTGATTTTTAAGCCAAAAAAGAGGGAACTATCCACTTTAGCAAGATGAAGAACACTGCCTGAGTGTCTATTGTTGTCAAGTTGGACTGAAAAATGTGCAGTTTGGTCATGTGTGTTTAAGTTGGCCACCAAAATCCAACACTTTTTACAAGTTGTTCCTCGTATGTTTTGATTTTCTCGATCAAGTTCCTCAATCTGTCACACTTTGGTCTTTCTTCTCTCAATTTCACCGATCGGGTCCTTGCTTGTTTTCAATTCCACTTCCTAATTTTTGCTATTCTCAATCCTACAATACTTTCAAATATTTTTTAATTAAGCACCTCTTTTAATTGTTATTTTTAACCTGATTTCCATTCTATTTTCTTTCTTTTTTTCATTTCTTTTCCCTTTTCATTTTCTTTTTGTTTCTTCCCTTTTCATTTCCTGTCCCCCTTTTTCTTTTGTTTTTCATTTTTTTCTTTCAAACTTTATTATTATTATTATTATTATTATTATTATTATGGATAATAATAATTTCATAAAAGGTAACCCAGTAAACACTCAAACCTTGTAAATCTTTTTTTTATGCCTTTTAGTATGTCTATATATATTTTAAAATTTGTGCAAAAATCATAAAAATTAAAAATACGTTAATTATCATTATTATTTATTAAAAAATTTCAAAGAAGAAATTTTAAGTGCCAATACTCATTGATCTAGTTTTTATTAAACAAAAAAAGGCAATAATTATTGAAATTTTACTTTCTTGACTCACTTTCTCTTCCAATTACTTGAATCAATTGTCATCTTAAATTATTGTCGAGTCAACTTTCTTCCTAAAAGATAGTCTCTTGAAAACCATTTTTTAGTAAGTCATCCATTTTAATAAATTAGACTTCTAAAACTAAATGATTTGCTTTTTGAAACACCAATGCAATTCTTTGGGTTCCATCCTTTTCACCAAAAGAGAGGAGGATGTCTTATCACTTGCACTTATAAATATACCATTATAATCTTTATAGACTTCCTCCTTTTCATAAAATTCAGTATGCTTTCCAAAGAAATAACATAAAATCTAGTAATTTTATTGTTTTTTTTTTCATATTTATTCTAATCACATTATTGTTTGTTAAAAAAATAGAAGTGCCTAATGTTTATTTATGAAAAAACTCAAAAGACTTACCATACACTGAAATAATTTGTAACTTCTAATGTTTTTCTCTCTCTTTTTTTTCAAACTCAATGCTCCTCTCTCTCTCTCTCTCTCTCTCTCTCTCTCTATGTATATATATATATACATAGACACATACACACACACTAATTAAAGATGGATTTATCCCATATTTGGTTTATGTACTCTTCAATTTTTTTTTTTAATAGAGACACTCTACTTTTTATGTATTGATTGAAACCTTTTATTCTTTAAAATTTATTGATTTAGATCTTTTGTTAATTATTTATCTGATGTGGTATGTTAAAATTAACATTAATCAATCACAAATAGACACTTGACGCAATGGGTCCCAACCTTAACAATCTATGTTGAAAATTGAAAAAAGAAGAAGTTAAAGAAGTTTTTATTATTAAACTAATATTTAGTATTAAAAAATATTCGTAAAAGGCCACATTGCCTCCACCCCACTATAATTGCCTAACTCACTCTTTTCCATATGGTCAAGACCAATTCTCTTGTTCTCTCTCCCTCAAAATATTAGTCCCTAATTCTCTTAATTCCTAAATCATTCCAAAGGAGTAAAAAATGTTGCCTTAGGACATGAAACAAGAGGTTGAGGTTCAATCTTAATAATTTACAAGCAACAAATGATCCCTAATATGAGGATTTAGGGGTCAATACCGTATTTTACTATTCCATCTAACAATCTAAGGGACTAAAATCGATCAAGATCTACAACCTCTTTTTTTAGTTACCGAGCATCGATCAATTTCCCATCTCTCGCCTTGTATACCAAAAAATCCAATAGTAACATAACTTGTTGCCATTGTTGTTACAAGTAATAGCAAGTGTTGAAAATTGAGAGCTCATTTGTCTTCCTCATCTATAAAATAGCGATCATAATCCGCTTGTTTTTCGAGATCATGCAAAGTTTTATAAGATTTGTGGATTCTTATGAACTTATAAGTTGTGTCCTTCTTTTGATCGTTAGTAATGTATGATATAGGTCTCTCTACGGTAAAAGCACACACAATAGATACTTGACAAGGGCAAAAGTTGACGCAAGATGACGATGGTGAACTAGGCTAATTATTTGCAAACACATAGAGGAAAATCAAGTCCGTAAATACATAAAAGGGTTTAGAATGCAAAAGAATGATTTGAGGATTAAGAAATTTTGGAATTTAAAGATTTGAAGATTAAGATTTTGCAAGGAGAGAGAACAAGAGAATCGATTTTGACATAATGGAAAAGAATGCGTTGCACAATTATAATGGGGTGGGGGCAAGGTGGTTTTTTTTTATAATTATTTTTAAATAATAAATAGTAGTTTAATAATAAAATCCTTTTTAGTTATTTATTTATTTTAATTTCGGACATATATTGTTAGAGTTGAGACTCACTATGTCACGTGTCCATTTATGATTAGTTACCATTAATTTTAAGATGCTAAGTCAAATGAACGAGTTAACGAAGGGATTGAATTAATAAAATTTTAAGAGCAATGAGTTTTGATTAAGCCAAAAAAGAGCGAGAGGGTCTCAATAAAAAAAGAAAAAAAATCAAAGAGTATCGGGACTAAATGTGGGGTAAACTCAATTAAAAATCAACGTTAAATTAGTTTTGTGTATTGCGATGTTGCATGACTTGCGTCAAATTTTGCAGGAGGTGATGGTAATAATAAGAAGTTTTATATTGCTCATAAAAATAATTAATAATACTTATTTTATATGATAGATAAATATGAAGATGAGAAAGAAATAGAGATTAAAAAAAATTAGGCTTAGTAAGAATATTCTTATTGTTTTTGATGAGTTAGGTTGTGATTATTCTTTCTCTTCTTTGTGTATGTTTATCTCATCAAATTAGGCCCGCAAGTAAGTATTATTAATTACTTCGTGAGTATTATAAACTTTTTCAATGAAATAAGTATTGGTAATTACTCTATGATATTTTAAAGTTTTCAATGACAATAATAGTTGTGACAAGACAGAGCAGAGTTAGGATTCGTATTTAAGAGAGGCAAAAAAAAAAAAAAAGGTATTATTATACAAGTTGGTATTACTTTATAATACAGACTAAATTTAAACAAAATTATATGTCAAAATTGAATTATAAAATATAAACTAATCCATTTAAATGATAATTTAATGTATAAATTCTTTAAACAAATTATTTTTTAACAGATATGTCATAAAGTAGTAGAAAAAGTTCCAAAACCATGCGGGTCAAATGTCTAGAAAAAAAAGAGAACCAATTCAATATCCTAAATCTATTAAGGAAAAATATGATTTTTTTTAAAAAAAATAATGGCACTTTTGGTAACTCCACCCTTAGGTAGGATGGTGGTGACTGTAGTGGATGTCCAGTAGCGATGGTCATGTTAATAACAGTGGTAGCGCCAATGATTGCAGCACTAATGGACTGGTTAATTGCTATAGATGAATGATATTGTAAATTAATTGTTATTCTTAATTTTTTTTTTAATAGAATCTCAAGATATGAATAAAAAGTTCAGAAAATTACAAATTTTATATGTTAATTATAAAATATTTTACCTTAACCAGTTTTGGGTCTAAATATATTTTAGAGCAAAACAAACTCAGAAGATTAGGGGAAAAAATTGTAAAATATTTCATGCAAAACAATAACCCACCTTATTTGTTTCTTACATTGTTACTTTAATAAAACTCCATCCAGAACAGAAAGAGATAGGGAAAAAAAAAAACAAAAAACAAAATCAGACTCTGAAATTTATCAACCAAACTATCAAAATAGCTGTATTGTTCACGCGCTTCCCCATTTCCTTCACTTCTCCCCCAAAAGAACTGCGGAAAGAAAGACGAGTGAGAAAAATCTGATTGAATCAATCTAGGGTTAGAGTTATCCCTAATCGGGATATCGTTAAACCCAATTCGGTGTCGAAGATCAATCAAGATGGGCACAAACTCGTTATCTTCAGAATCAATTACCGATCTCGATCAACAGATCGAGCAACTCATGCAGTGCAAGCCTCTCTCTGAACCTCAGGTTTTGCTCAATTCGATTTCTGTTCGATTTAGGAAAATCGATCGAATTCCCTAATTTAACAGTTGATAGCTTGGATTAGTGTTTTTAATTGCTTGCTTAGTAGTTGGATTCAACTGTATGTAGTAATTCGGATTATTATTTTTATTGAAGTTTTTGGCCTTTGGTGGAGAAAGAAAATATATTCATAAAAATAGAAATGATTGCAAAATAATTACTATTGCTTTTATTGCTGCGGTCGCGATAGGATTTCTGGCTGTCAATGTGGGAGATTTATTATTTATTTTTTTTATTAGTGTGTGTTTTTTATTTATGGTAAAGAATGGCGTGAGTTAATCTTTTTTCTTGATTTGTTTTGGTGCAGGTTAGGACATTATGCGAGAAAGCTAAGGAGATACTAATGCAAGAAAGCAATGTTCAGGTTTAACTCGTTGTTCTTGTTGTTTTTTTTTTTTTTTTTTTTAATTCAATTGCTCTGTTGGTACGTGCTGGAATTGGAAGATGTTGACTTTGTTGATTTGTTTTTGGAGGACAGCCTGTGAAAAGCCCTGTGACAATATGTGGCGATATTCATGGGCAGTTTCATGATCTTGCAGAACTTTTTCGAATCGGAGGGAAGGTATCAGTTCTGACTATGACACCACTTTTGTAATTTTTCAACTCTTCTGTTTCAGATGAGGGCTTTGTCTTAAATAGTTTATTGAGACCTGTGCCAAATGCTTTTGAAGATTCAAGTTATCCTGAGGTATAGTCAAGTAGATTGTCATTGGTCAGGAAACTGCTTGTTTTTGTTCATTGTGCTGTTAATGCTTTAACTCATGCCATTTATAGTTCTAACTATTGGTTTCCACCTTATGTTTCAAGTGGTCTTTTGGGTTCATTTAGAGTACTAACAATCGTTTTAACTATTTGGACAAAGTTATGTTTCGATTAGTCTTTTGGGTTCATTTATAAAATTACGGAATCAACTTTTTTTGGGTTCATCATTTGCTTTTTTCCTCCTTATTTTGTATCTAATTCCTACATAAGATATTTGTGACCTTTTTTAAATTTGTTGACAGTGTCCTGATACCAATTACTTGTTTATGGGGGATTATGTGGATCGTGGCTATTATTCTGTTGAAACTGTGACGGTATGTACATAATCCATCCAGTCATTTGCCTCCTGTTTGAGTTAATTTTAACAAAAACTTTCTTTCTAAACTGTGTGCTACCCAATCTGAGGATAGAAAATGTCTGATATTTGGAAGTTTTAAATTGGCGGCACTTATTGATACCTTTTTCCAGCTCTTGGTGGCATTGAAAGTCCGCTATCATCAGAGGATTACCATTCTCAGAGGAAACCATGAAAGTCGCCAGGTACCTTATTTTTTGTGTCATCTTTTTCCATCACGAGTTTTGTATATACCAACCAGCATGGTAATGCTTGGATTCTGAAAATTATCTGGGTAATGGTGTTTCTGTTTCCTTTACAAATGCTGCTGTTGTAAACTTATAATTTGGATGTATAATTTTAAATATTTAGTGTATGATCCAGATTTCATCAACTATATTTCACTAAATTCCAGAGAGGTGGGTGTTCAATGTAGGTTTCTATAAGATGTGATACTTAGTTTTGTTTCAGACAGTTGAAGTTAAATTTTAATTTGCACTACTTGTTTGACTTCAGATTGTGGGTCATGTGCTGTATATGGAAATACTGATTGCTTTTATCTTTTTTTCTCCTTGCAGATTACTCAGGTTTATGGGTTTTATGATGAATGCCTACGAAAGTGAGTTTTCTACTTGCAACCTTTATTAGTTGGCTATAAGTTTTAATAGTGCTGATAGTTTCAAATAATAAGTGTGCAGCACATGCTGGATATGCAATCTTTATAATGCACATGGAGCATATGCCACCTTTCACCAGCATATTCTGTTTTCTCATTTAGTTGTCTTTTTTTTTTTTTTTTTTTTTGTCGTTTTGGTTCAACGATGACCTCTTGATAGCTGCTTTAGTATTAATAATCTTTGTGAGCATTTTAATTTTCCTCTTGCTTTTATTTGTTTGATTACTGCATTTGGTAGAATCCTTATAAAAGGTTTTGGTTAAGTTTTAACACGTTTCAAATTTGCATAAATCACCAGCAATTTAGAGAAAAAAGAAAGCATTATTAGAAAATAGTGGTATTGAAGTTTTACATGTTGATAACTTTAGATATATAGGGTTTCCTTTTCATTGATGTAATATTTTCATGTTGGAATAAATTTTTCACATCTGAAGAACTTATGGCATTTTATTCCCCCTAGTTGGGATCAGTATGCGATCTTTTCTCTTGTTCAGCTTTATTCATTTTTTTCTTTTTTCTAGTATGAAGTTCATTGGACAACTTACTCAAAGGATATAGTGGCATGTAAATTTGCTTCACCTCTACTTGACTCGATCGTGTGTTGCTGTAGTTGGGCTTGCCTTAATCCAAATTAGATGCTCCTTTTGGAATTCTGTCACCAGCTTCTTACATCTTCAATGCTTGTGAAGTTTCTTGATTATCTGGTCAAAGTTAGTTGAGCTTTTTCATTGCAGCATATTCTTTTGCATAGCATTTAACTACTTCTGTCACAGAATACTTCCTTATCTATCTTTTTGTACATGTGACGTGCACTTATTTCTTGGTAGCTGCTACTTATAACTTTACTTCTTATAAAGATGGAATATAATTGGGCTAGCACTTTTGTATAATTCAAAGTGAACTAATATAATGATGGAAAGAGTTATTAATTTATGAAACACGTGTTGGTTATCAGTGTTATTACTGTGGGGGACTAGTTTGTTTAATTTGTCCGAGTTGCTGGTGGTATGCCCACCTAGATCCACTGCAATGATTTGATATACTTAACACACTGTAGTGCAGAACTTACGTAAATTTTGCTTCTTTTTTTTATTTTTTTGCAAGTCTCTTATATTGCTCTTTTCTTATGACATTACAGGTATGGTAATGCTAATGTTTGGAAGATCTTCACAGACCTTTTTGACTATTTCCCATTGACTGCCTTGGTTAGTAAGACCAGCTATATCTGGGCTGACTGTTGAGTTTGCCACTAAAAATTTTAAAAAATTGTGCGTGTGTGAAAAATTTTAAAGGGGGATATTAACCAGCCTACTCTTATCCCTAGAAGAGATGCTTTTAGCTGACTCATGTTGAGTTCTTTTTTATTTTTTCTGTTTTTAAATTTCACCATTATGATTTTTATGGTCACTTTGATAATGTTTTTGTTAAATCATCCTTTTGAGGTTGTATCATTTGGTCAATCATGACTGTTTGCATTCCCTGGTATTCTGGTCTTTGGAAGCTCCAGTTTGCATTTCTCCATGTTCAAAATGTTCCCTCTGAAACAGTCTTATGGCTTAGAATGGTGTGAGTTGCCCATCTTACAAGTTTGACTGAATGATTTTGTTGTTTAGTGGCTATTTATGAACATAGTTATTGCAATATTTTGTTTCTCACTGTATATATCAACAGAAATTTCTTATATTATTTCGAGGGATACCTTGGGCAATTTTTTCAGCTTTATGTGGTGTTTAAGAAAGCTATATCAACAACAGTATTGGAACAAGTCAGTGACAGTAAAAAGCTAATCGTTTGATGGATATTGCCATTCCTGAATTCCCTTTTTTTTTTTTTTCACACTTAACTTTGTAGGTTGAGTCTGAAATATTTTGTTTACATGGTGGATTGTCCCCATCTATAGAGACCCTTGATAACATAAGGAACTTCGATCGTGTTCAAGAGGTTCCTCATGAAGGAGCCATGTGTGATCTGTTGTGGTCTGACCCAGATGACAGATGTGGTTGGGGTATTTCACCTCGTGGTGCTGGATATACCTTTGGCCTGGTAACTGGAGTTCCATGCATTCTACCCTATTTGTACAAAGAATGTGACGTTTTTATCAAAGTTACATGGTGACCTCCTTCTCCTGAATTATCTGGATCTATTTTTGTTACTTTTATGCAGGATATATCTGAGCAATTTAATCATACAAACAGCTTGAACTTGATTGCTCGAGCACACCAGCTTGTTATGGATGGATTTAATTGGGCACATGTAATTATCATTCCTAAAACTCATGAATATTATTTGCATGTTCGTGTTTGGCATGAAAATCTCAGGTTTGGGGACGACTTTGTTTCTTTGGTACAGGAACAAAAGGTGGTTACCATATTCAGTGCGCCCAATTATTGTTACCGCTGTGGAAACATGGCCTCCATATTGGAAGTTGATGACTGCAAGGGCCACACATTCATCCAGGTATATCTCTCCCACTTATATTCTTCACAATGATCATACAAAATTTTAGTGCTAGCTTCTCATTGCGGATTTTTTTGTGCGTTACAGTTTGAACCAGCACCAAGGAGGGGAGAGCCTGACGTTACCCGTAGAACACCTGATTACTTCCTGTAAGCAGCCCTTTGTAATACCACTTCCACTTTCTCTTCAACACCCCCACCCACCCAGTCCTACCTCAAGCTCAGATGGTTGATGATCCTAATTGCTTTGGGTTTATCATATATAAGTTTAAAGTAATGCCTTGCTGATGGTTATGGGATGAGAAAAGCATGTATTATATTAGGCAAGCTGGATGCCTTTTCTTTCCTGTCTTATAATCGAAACCCCACTGGATATTTTATGGGAATCAGCTAAGGCCTAAGCTAATGGAGACGGTGAAGCATTTGAATGTAAGATATTCCTGTTTCATTTTTAACTTTTCTGCTATCCTTCTGGGGCCTCTAGGAGGGCAACGAAGTTGACATCTACTTGATGCTTTATGCTAGAGTTTTTTGAATGGTGCTCTCTCCCTCTCTCTATTGTGATCGTGCGTGTGGATGCTTTCTTCAAACTAAAATATTATCTCATATGACTACTTGGATTTTAATTTGTTACAAAGGGCAAGCAAACTTCAACTCAGTTTAATTTTCTGTCTTCCGTGCTCATTTTAATTCCCAATGGACATCCAAAGATTGCCTATACGATCTATAAATCTAGTCCTAAGCACTAAAGTGTGCCCATCTATGTGACGATTTCTACCACCCACACAAAAAAATAAACAAATAAAGAACACTATTATAACTTCGAAGCATAAAGCGACACCGTCTCAGAATTCAGTTTCTACTACCATTGCCGCCTGCCGACGCCAAAGCCACAAGAAAGCAATTAGAGGCAAAACCTGCACACAGAACAATGACATCGGATGGGCGGAGACAGGTACAAGCATCAAGGGGAAAAATCATTCTATGATATACACGATTAAGGTGTGTTACATTCTCATTTAAGGCCATATGCGTATAATGACACGTAGAAGAATGATGAGGATGGTTACAATCTCATATACGAGAAGAGAGATGGAACAAGATCTACCACAGACCAAGCGAGGCCTGAGTATTGGAGGAATCTAATACCCGTATCAACATCAAATGAGTCCTGAGATGAGAAAAAGAATAACTTGTTAATATAACCCGATTGCTTAATCTCTTCTGATTGTTTGCCAGTAACCGATCCGTTTAGCATAGGGATGTAGCTGGTTGATTTTATTGGGATGCCCAAGGTGTTTGATACAACAGGAAGGATCCATTTAGCCAGGGCCTTGCTGCAGTACTTCACCATGAGTATTGTTGGTATCCCCACAAGCATTCTTCCAAGAAATGCTGGCACAGTAAGTTGTGGTGTAAATATGCGTGGCACTGCTTCATGGTGGAACTGGTGGTAGGTTTGCTGGACGCCAGCCACCTGAATAATATTGCATATTTAGTTCATGAATGTTAATAATAATAATAAGCTATTTCAGACTCAATTGAAGTTTAATGAAAACCTCCCCGACATGTGCAAGTTAAAAAAGGAATTATCTAAATGACATCCATGTTCTGCTCGTAAAGGTTAAAATTCACAGGAATACTCTAACAGGTCCAAAGCATAGAATGCAGGAGTGTTCTTTGTTTAACATTTATTGGTGATGAACCATAACATTGAGGATCATGCTACCACGCTTATAAGAGGCATGCTGATACAATCCCAAATTCCACCCATGCTCCTCAAGGGACATGACAGTGGCAGTTTTCCTGTGCCAGCAATCTCCATCTACTGTTGCGAAGAATTCAGTGTCATAAAGAATGTTGCATGAGAAGACTTAATCAAGGTGAGAGAGGAGAGAGGAACTGTAAACAATTTTAGGAAGCTGATACTTCAGACTCAATGCTTCATTATTGAAACGCAGGACTGACTTATACATTGCCACTCTTTTTCCCTACACACTCTACTTGCTGTCCCTTTATGACCATGGAATAGAATTTGCAATGCTGTTATCACAGATACCATGCCTCAAACCTTTTCCAATAATTTCTTCCACCAAATGGACCCATACATGTTTTTACTCTTGGCTAAATCCTAAATGATTCTGTTTAAAGAATTGTTTTGAAGACATGTACAGCATTACGTCCCAACATCAAGCTTCTGCTTGGCACCATGTGATTGCTGAGATGCATAAATAAGCTTTAAATTGTCATCATGGAAGCAAGAACCTTGTATAGAAGTTTCCACTCGCCTTACAATTTTGTGCCTTTATTATTACACCATTATATCTCTTTTCCATGCTGAGACAATAAGTTCAGACCACCCCCTTCCTGCCCCAAACCCCAACACACACACCACCCTCCTACTCTCTTTCTTCGGTATCCTATCCTTGCTTTTTCATTCTGTGCCAAGATAAGTGATGGTCTAAGTACCTTTGCTTCCCTTACACAAATAATCAGCAAAAAGATAATGGTGGAGTTATTTATCTCCCTTCACTAAACCAATTTTCTTCTATGCATGGAACAGGGTTCACTCCAATGAGATTTTATTTTTCCAATATTTATTAAGGTTAATCAAAATGCCTCCAAGTTTCGATAGTTCCTCCTTTTGAATGTTCTCTCTAGTCTCAACTATGCAGACTTTCAACTCTTCTTAATTCAACTAAACATATAAAAGTGCAAACACTTCCCACTGCATGATCTTTGACATACTTTGGTGACAGAAAAGGCAGACTATAAAGCTAACACAATATTCCAAAGTTAATGGGTAAGTGATTGCTTACTATTCCAAATGCAACACCATCGAAGGCTGTGTGGAACTCAAAGCTTGGGGTTGGAAGTTCTGGAGTCGGATAAGCAAAAAGCAATAGAAGGCTTAGGACGGCCCAAAATGTTGTAACTGCAAGTGAAAATGGTACATACAGAATGAGAACACAATGTTTGTGAATTTATCCAGATTAAAACTTTCAATGCTAGATATCCATAAAGTCAACCGAATCCCACCTTCTGTTAAACAAAATTACTAGTATTTGAACAGAGACTATGATGTTCATATTATACCTCCTTTGCACAAGGTATGGTTGAAATAAATTCATAATTCATAATTCAAACACTAAAGGATCAACTCCTGTAACCTAAACAACCCCAATCAATTATTAACAGTATCCTGAGTCATGATTCAGTAAAAAGATGTGTCCCTAAAGAAGGTAAATAATTAGAGCCCTCAAATTTTTCAATAGAACAGAATAACAAAATTTGCAGATCTTCTCTCCATTTGAGAGGAAGATAGCTTAAGGAACATCATGCATAGCCTGCTAGCAGGCTAATTACATCCTGGTATTAGTTGTAAAAAGTTTATCTAACTAACTCATTGTAGGATTGTTGGGTCTGCATCAGGCATCTATAGAGTTTTCTTGTTTCTCCAAACAAACATGTTGGTTTGTCTCCAACAGACTTCCTATTTCCCAACATTTTAATGTCTTGCTCGCCAACTTTGGAGTTGATGGGCTACTCAGAAATTTAGATTGGTATCCAAAGCCTTGCATGGGAATTTGTTCAAATGTGAATAGACCAGAAGAGGGAAAAGGAATTATGATAACATGGGAAGAAGGGAATGTCCTTTTGTGAAGACTTCACTTAATCATACTCATCAAGCACAGATACTTCCATAAAATTTTGCCACTTGATTGGCTTAAAAATAATTTAATAGTGTTCTAAAAGTAGCTTCTGCAATTACTCATCAAAAATTTGAAAACCATGAACGCTAGAGCCATGAGATTACATACCATTTTGTCCTGAGACTATGAAACTGTCGACATAATCATGGACAGATAGCCAAAAAGTAAGGATTGAAAAACCAATGGCAAGACCAGCTATGACATCGATTACACTGTGCATTCCAAGGTAAATTCTTCCTAACAAGAAGAAACAAATTTCATTTTAGGAATCCAAAACAAGGAAAAACAGATAATGCTGCCAACAACTTATGAAAGACAACTACACTTACCCAAACCAGTGAGGCACACGATCAAGCAAACAATGGCAAATCCCGCAAATTTCAAAGAGGCATCTTCATTTTGGGTATAGCATAGGACATAGCGCAACAGGTATCTGGTAAAGTATTTGAAGAGGCTATAGTTAGTACAATAAGAAAAATGCTGTACAATGTTCAGGTGCAAATTCAAAGCAATTTGATAACCAAATTTGAGTTTTTGAGGAGATAACATTAAACTAATTAATATTATACTCACACCATTGCTAGAACCTTGACAAAATTCAAAATAGAAGAGAAAAACAAAAAAAAATCAACTTTATATCAATAAGCAAGAATCAAGAGCTTAGCTACATAAGCATACTCAGCATTCTTGACTAAGGAAAGAAACAACTTCGCTAGTTTCTATATGCACAATGCCTAACAAATTAGCTACAACTATTCGCGAACTACTTGCATAACACAAACTGGTATGATGCCTACTAAATCCTATGACACAGGTCAAAAACCACACAGCAAAGATATGCATAAAAGGAGGAAGAGGAATACCCAGATAAGCAAATTGTGTTAAGAATGTGAGAAGAAGGCAATCCATATTCCAAAGCATTCTCCTTCTCATCTTTTGTGGCAGTTATTCTCCTAACAGGCGGGCAACTGGGTCTAGGAGCTGATATCACATCCTACGGTAAATAAAAGATCAAAGTGAACCAGCAAAAAAATTAAAAAAAAAAAAAAGGCTCTTGCTTAATAGTTCATCTTCCAAATCAAAGAACACAACAGCAGAAGAAATGGCATGGGTCAGATCAGAATGAAAGTAAATAAGTACCTTTATGCAGTTTCCTGAATAATCACAGACAGCCATTAAAAGGGTCATTTGCCTAGCCAATTTGCCATGTCCACTCTACATTATAAACCCAAAAACCACTCAACTATCGCCAAAACTACCATAAAATCCAAAATAACCACTAATCAGAGAGAAATAAAACATACCCAGAAGAGCAAAGGAAGAAAAGCAGTGTAAAAAGGGACGGAAACAACACAAGACAATCCAGAGAACAAAGCATCCAAAAATCCATGCTGGTATTTCTGCAAACAAAAGCAACAAAAATGAGAGAAAAAAATAAAACACCAGATTAACAGAATTCAATACAAAAAAAAAAAAAAATCTGGGTTCTTTTTATATTGGTGAAAAGTGGTAAAAACCTGGATCTGGAGGATGATAGGCGTGCCAGTGATGACATGGTGAGAAACCCAAGGTCGGACCAGAGTTCTAAGCTTTTGAGAGACATTAAGACATGAAGATATAACAATCCATGTCACAATCCCACAGACCGTCAAACCTTGCCATAATGCTATGCTCTCCATTAATTAATCTTTCTCTCTCTAATTCCCTCCTAAAACGAGGGATCAAAGAAAGCAAACAAAAGTAAAGAAAACAATGGAACCAGCGGCAAGAAAGACTTCGGACTCTATGTGGTTCAATGTTTACTTTTCTTTTTTTCCCTTAAATTTTTATTGTAATTATTATTTGGTGTTTTTTAATTATGATTTTTTCTTTCGTGGAAGCAGCTGACAGAGCTTTCGTTTAATATGGCTGGCAGAAGTACGAACAGCAAACACGGAAAAGAACATCCTCTGGAAGACAAATTCCAAATCAATAGTAAATAAAAAAGAAAACAGCAATATTAGCAATTTCGCAGGTATTACTAAATTTACATTTTAACTGTACGTATAATATTATATATATTATGTGGATTTTGCAACGTTTTAAGAAAGGTCAATGATTGACACTGTTTTGAACATGGATACAGATTATATATGTGTGTGTGTTTTTTTTTAAAAAAATTATTTTCCTCCGAATCAAAGCCATTTCCTGCTTGTGGAAGTATCATGAGGCTGACAAGATGCCAAATGTGCTTACTCTATAAGCAGTGTTGACACAGGCTACTTTCACGTTCGGCTTACTCTCTTCCTTCCTCGATTCCTTTTCTGGAGTACATGATTACAAGTCGCCAAAAAGGAACCCACGAGATACTTACATCAAATTCAAGTTGCTGACTTTATATGTATATATTACGACACCACTTCCTTTAATTGAAAAGTTGTGTTAAAAATTAAAGCATGGGTATCGTTGTTAAATTGATTTATTCAATATTGATAGAAATTTATTAAATATCACTAAATATATCAACATGTGATATACGTTTTAACATCTCTAATTTTAATTGATGTATAAATTAATATGAGAATATTTTTTACGTTAAATAAAAAAATATATAAATAAATTTATAATATATTTAATAGTGTAGGACAATTTCCATCCACCATATAAATTTATGATATATTCAATAGAGTATATAACAATTTCCACCCACCATATATTTAAATATATTGTTGTACCAATAATTTTAGAGTAATTTTGTCAGGACAATCAATTAGATGTAACTAAAAAATAAGATCTTAAACTTAATTTTATATGTGATTGTCTCTTAAAACATATGATTTGATTTAAGTGGATGAAGTATAAAATGATGAGTGATCTTAGAGTATTGAATTTTAGATTTAGTTTCATTGAAGGTATTAAATTCTAGAGTCGTATTTATTGAGAGGGATTAAATATTATTTTTTTCGTTCCGAATATGATTAATCTTATCTATAATGTGAGATAAAAATACCGAAGAAAAACAATATATATATATATGATTTTTATTTACATATATTGTTTTCTTAAACCACTTAAATCATATAAACTTAATGTACCATTAGCTACAATAAAATTAACTTTTAATGACATTTGTCTGAAAAAAACCTGCTCAGATAAAATGCTATGATTGATATACAGTATAATGGCTTTTCATAATTGCCATTACTGTATATCTTTATGAGTATTGTTCTTAATTTTTAGCAGCAACTGTGACATATCTTTACCAATGTTGTAGATGAAGGCATTTGTATTCAAATGCCATTAAATTCAATGTCGGTAAAGTTCTGTCATAATGGCTAATAAAATGAATATAAATGCCTTTAAAATTAAATAAAAGCCACTAAATATGTATAATAAAGGTAATTATTAAAAATATCATTATAATATATACTTAGAGACATCTTACTCAAATGGTAGCGTAGCTATGGAACAATTGCTACTAAGAATTCGTTTTATAATAGTGATTATTTCTAAAAAAGAATTGGAGTTGCTTAATAGAACATTGATCCAATACCGGAGAACTTAATCATAAACTCCAAGAAAATGTTAAATTTCTATCTCTTCCTCCTGAAAAAACGAGCTCTAAAAAAAAAGGGGTTCTTGTTGTAGGAATTTATCAAATAAGAGCCAAAAAGAAAAAGAAAAAGACTTTTCTCAGAAGGTTCCCAGAGACTAGAGTGTTAATGGCAGCCATGCAAATTTGACCAAATTGGTTAAATCTCACTGGTGTACAAAATGCGCGCAAAGGCAAGTTGGTAGCTAGCCTAGTTAATTCGGAATTTGTATCGGTCCCACATTAAATAAAAATAAGGTGGGCCGGACGTATCGATGTTAGTTTGGCGGTTTCTCCAACGCTATGGATCGTCTGCATTAATGCAGCCGACGAATACTTGTTTGCTTAAGATATCTCTATTAAATTCAGTAAAATATAATTTAGTTTCTCTCGTTTTGAGAAACAAATTATTTAGTTTATTTGTTTCAAAAACCAGTTGTTGAATTCTTGACAGACCTGTCAAATTTATATTCGATACCTAAAATATTTTTTTTAAGGTATAAATTCATTCCAAAAGTAAAACAAACCACACTATTTCTTATTTTCTTGTTATTTCTATCATAATATTCTTTCTCATTGTCTCTCAATATTTTCGTTTTTCTCGGTTTAATCTTCATATTTTTTAATTCCTAGATGATGGTTTTTTTTCTAAAAATAAAAACAAACTCCATTTTTCTCTTTCTCTCCGTCCTTTACCATTTTTATTGTCGTTTCTGGATGATAGCGTTCTCTCTCACTCTCTTTCTATCTTTTGTTCTTTTTTATAATTTGTTCTTAGCCATAAAATTGATTGTTAAGATTAGTTTAAACTTACTTTTGTTAGTTTTAGCATATTTTAAAGTTTTGTGTTAGGTGTATTGAATTAAGATTGTTAGTTAGAGTTTTTCAAATTTTTTAAGAAATGAGTTCGAAAAATAAAATGGAGTTTTCATGTTATGTAGTGTGTTAATATTGATAGAATGTGTCAAATTTCTAACTTATTTATTGCAATGTGTGGTTTGTAAAATTAGGACTTTTTTGTTTCTTTTTTGTAATGGGTCTTGCTATGTCTCAATTATCTAACTTAGTGCAATCTTTAATGCAGATGAAGTGTCATATCGTGAAAAATAGATCTTGACAAGGATTTACAGCATGTTAAATACTTTGAAGTGGATATAAAAAAAGTAGTACTACTTGAATTTGCTAATAGATGTGTAAGAACACTTCTCTTTTTATTCTAACTTTATTAATTTAGTTGTTGGTTGTAAAATAACTATTTTAAGTGATGAGGATTTGATTTGTGTCTTCAAATATTACAGTCACTTAAAACCTAAGGAGATGCCAATACATATAAAAAATAATGATATGGTTTTTATTGTTTGATATCACCCAAAAAATAAAAATATTTACCTACATGGAGAAATGGGTATGATTTATTAAAGGAGTTGAGTGAGACTTTGCATCCAAAGGCTCTTACGAGAAGGAATATTAGTAGAGTAGATGTAAACTGTTCTTTAGGTTTTTAAATTGATTTTATAATGATTATTAATTGATTTAATAAAAAAAATTTGATTATTAATTTTTTCAATATTTTGGAACAAAAAATTATTTATTAATAATAATTATAAATTCATTAAAATTTAAAAAATAATTTCTTTAGATTTTTTTGAAAATTTTTATTTAATAATAATTATTATAAATTCATTAGATTTTTTTTAAATAGATTATTTTAAAAGTTTTCTTTAGAATTTTTTCAATTTTTAATAATTTTATAATAATTATTAATTTCTTTAACTTTAAAAACGATTATTGTTTAGTGATGAATTTTTTTATATCACAGGTGACTATTATTTTCGTCACTGTATGACTTTTACTACTTTTGATTAGGGAAAATAGAGATTTGGTCAGGAAAGAAATGATTATGGGGATGAAATTAGGTTTTCGTCGCAAATAGGATGAGACGGGGTTTCTAGGGACATCGGTGGTGACGAAAATTTTTATGGGTGATGAAAAAATTCATTTCTTAAAACGGAAATTTCTTGCAACGTTGATCGGCACATTTCGGCTGGGAAAAAAAAAACAGATTTATCGAGGTTGATCTTCTGACCTAAAGGATTCTCACACTTGAAGATAGCATGAGAAACAGTATCCACTTCATTGGATGTGGGCCCGGAAAAAAATCGTAGATGGGGCACGTAAAAACCTTGTGCGCACAATAAAAAGAGACAAGAAGACGGAGGATGCCCGACGTGAGCCCCTCTCTCTGGGTAAAAAACAGGACCTGGTTCACCGAGAAATTCGTCAAAATTGATTATGATATGGACAAACGCATCTCATAATAAGATCAACCCAACCTTATTAGGATGGAATCCTATCTAGTGGCATCTTTTATTAATTTACAAAAATATCATTTTCTTTTTCAACTAACCTGTTTAATATTAGTTGAGAAGGGAAAGGAATGAGAGAAGCCCCTAGTAAATTTATTAATCATATATTTAAAGAATTGGGATCTTCTCATATTCTCTTGAACATGATTTATAATTATCTTTTAATCTAAAAGCATTTCAAAATAAATGAATGGCTAAGATAAAATTATTTTTTTTATTGTTATTTAAATTTTGTTAGTTTTGATTATATCATGTTTGGACAATCAATGTTTTTTTTTTCTCGTTATATATTTTAGATGTGAATTGATAAATTTGTAATTAAATTTTAGTACTTATTATGTGATATGATTTTGTGCTTTAGTTTTATTTAAATAAATATTTATTATCTTTTTATGTAGGCTAATTTAGATCATTTAAACTACAGGAAGAACACCATATTTCATAACACAATTTTTTTAGCCCATTTACATTATTTTAAAAGATAAAAATAAAAAAAATCTGTTTTAACCAAAAAAACCAAAAAGTAATTTGGTTCGGATTTTTTTAATTAATTTGATTAATAGAAAATCGAACTAAAATGTTAAAAACTGAATTGGAAAATCAAATGTTCATCCCATAGAGAGGTCCAATGATTTTTTTATATTTTTTTATCCTTAGAGCATCATAGTCTCAAAACCTCATATTGATTCTTTACTATTCGATCGAATCGCAAAGCGAGTATAGCTATTTAAGAAGTTGTATACATACACAAGGACTCGAATTCAAAAATACTTATTTAAATGATTAGAGTTTTTTTCTTTAAAGTCAACCCTCTTGAATAGATCTAATGATTTTTGAGCTACACAATAAAAACAGTTTTCTTCTATTAAATTTATTGATTGAAAAAATTATCACAACTAAAAATCGAATTTTATTTCACTAAATAAAGTCACCCATGCACAAGTAATTTTACTAGTGTAATAATTTTGAACTTTTTAAGTTTGCAAAAATATGTGTTACTTTAATAAATAAAAAAAAGCCAGAACAATAAAGGTCTAGTTACACTTTGCTAAAAATCCAGTTGCAACTGTGATCAAGAAAGTCTTCCCTTCAAGAAATTTGACAATTCCAATACCATTATCTTGCAACTCCACTCCTCCACAATTTTGCTTGTGATGTAGGATAGTTGGTCGTTATCTTCTTCACTGTATCGTATCCTTCGTGGCTCTTCAATGCATCTAACATGATGTTATCCAACGGTTTGTTTTACTTAATTAACTAAAGGCATGCCTTTCCTTTACTGGCTATTCAAGTCGATCTCTCTTTGGCTCTTATACTGCAAGTGTATTTTTTATCTTATCCAATGGAGTGGAGCATATCTAATGTCAATTGTCGACGAAAGTAGTGTTGAGAACATTTCTCGTATGTGAAATGCCATTATGGTTAGAGTTAATTGTAGCTACAAATTGGCGGTTGAAGAATGTGGATCACATCACTTATGTTTTGATCGACCCTTTTTTTTTAATCTATATAGAAGCTCCCGAGACCCGTGCTCTAAGCATGGTGGTGAGTGACGGCAAATTTTGTACCATTCAGGAAATAAATAACCTGTTATATGCATAAAAATAGATTTAAACTTTTATAGGAAAATCAATCCGTGAAGAAACTATTTTTCAAGAATTTTTTTCAAAAAAATATTTTTTTTCGTTTAACAACTACATGAAAAAACTGTTGGAAAATATATTTTAGCATTTGTTTGATATAGAAAATTAAAATACAAAAACAATATATGATTGTTACATCGATAAGTTTTGAGAAAAATTTAAAAAGGCATATTCACAATTTTATAATATAAGATACATTTAGAAAATTTTAATAAATTTTCATAAATACCGACTCTAATATTTTAATTCAAAAAATAAAATTTATTTTTTTAACCATCAAACCAATTCATCAAAATTACTTAGGATAAAATCAAGTCAATATTCACATTTAGTAAAAAAAAATTCTAAGTAATCCTAGCATTGTTATTTTGGTAACTCAATTAAGAATTTTTTTTTTAAAAATTGAACTAATAATTTAGTCTAAAAAATAGTTTTCTAAATTATTAGTATGTATTTGTAGATAATTATTCATTTGGTTTCAAAAGATTAATGTATGAATAATTTATAACCAATTATTCACTATAATTATCAACAAAATTTTATAACTGATTAAAATTATAAATTATTAATTTAGTTGCAAATGAATAGTATTGAAAAAATGATGTATTTATTAGTAAATTAATTAATTTTAATTTTTTTTTACAAAAAAATTACAGTCTTGTAATAATCATTTCTAATCATTTAAGTATAATTTAGATGATGTTTGAGATAATAGTAAAAAATAGAGATAAATTATTGAAATATTTATTATAAAAATAATTTTAAGGTGTAAAAATGGTTTTAAAGAATATTTAATGTATCTATAAATCAAAAAATCAAATATTAGTAGAAGTAGAGAAAAACTAATTAAATAATTGATAATAATTGATAAGAAATAATTAAAAATTAATTTGATATATTTTAAATAAAAAGAAGATAGAGAAAAAATTGTTAAAATACATTGAGAGAGAGGTAAGTAACGCGAGAGCGAAATAGTTAGTGAAAAAAAATATTTTCTTTTTTTTTAATTGATAAAACATTTTTTTAAATATACTTTATCATTTTTTATTAACTAAAAATCATTTTTCATTAATTTTTTTAAATACGAAATAAACATTAAAAAATAAAGAAAATAAATTCTTGAAACTTGTTTTTCTTCAGACAAATACAGCCTGAGTGTCCGTCTGTGACTTCTGGCTAGCTTCAGCAATTATTATGTTAGCCAGAAAGCAAGACCAAGAGGCTAAGTAATTATTTGCGTTGTGCTTGCTTGGACATGATATACGCGGTCTTGTTATAAACACCTCAACTTGATGGCAAGAAGCCTGTGAATCACTGAGAATAAGTGATGGGGCAGCTGTCTGAATAGGAAAAAGATGCAGTGCACTGAAAGGGAAAAAGATTTTGGAAGCATTAATGTTCCCATTGATTAGCATGTGAATTGTTTGAGCTGATGGAAAAGCATCTTTTTGTTAGGCTAGCTTAGGTGTTTGCTCCTCTTCTAAGCTTTTTTATAAGTTTCTTTTTTAATTGTGCTCTGTGTTCTCCCTCAGCAGGCAGCAGCCATCAGGCGTTGTGCTCAGAGTGGGCAACTTTTCCGGAGGGAAAATCTTTTCACCCAAACTGACATGACTTGTTGAAAATAATCATATAGTATTAAAGTTGGGTTATCTTATTTAATCATTTTAAAATTATTTTATTTTAAACACATTACTTTTTGAAAAAAAACCCAATTTAGTTCCAAATCTATATATAAATTCTCAATTGAATTCCAAATTTATAAATTTTATTAATTACATCCCAAATGTTTTAAAAAATTTCAATCAAGTCTTTTTGTTAAAGATCATCGATTTTTTTGTCAAATTTCTTCAAATTAATGCTATTCTAGAGCATCATTATGCACATTATACAGAAAATATTAATGTTCAGTAGCTTTTTTGATAATTTTTGCTTAAACTGGTACTATTTTAGGGTATAAAATAGTTAAATTGGACTTCAATTATTAAAAGAAATTGACAAAAGTATACAATCGAGAAATATAGGAAACATTTAGGATCTAATCCGTAAAATTTATAGGTTTTGGATGGAGAATCGATATATAGGTTTGGGAGTCAATTGAGATTTTTTTTTACTTGATTAGTTATTTATAAAATACTTAATACTCCATTAATATAATGAAAAAAGAAAAAGAAAAATTTTCATCGATCGAATCTGATCTAAACACCTACAAATACGACTATAAAATGCAAATTCTTACTCTTATAAATCCATCAATACTAAAACTGGAACATTGCATTTCCGGAACAAGAAGAGGATATATATTGTTATTTGAATTTTTAGATCTAAAAATTTTAAATTCGAAGTTTGCATAAATTAAATGTTTATAAATGATTTTTGAGCTTATATTTATGTTTAGGAGAGTTGGAAGATTGTTTAGATGAGTTTTTTTTTAAAAAAAAAAAGAAAAAAACCGAAGATTTTGAACTTTTTTGTCATGCATTTGCTGGAATCCGGCTCCATAGCCTAGATTCTTGTAAGGGACGAAGAAGACGACGTCTGTTTCCAAAAACACCTGGTCTCAGCTCTACGCTTAGGAACCAGAATTGTTTTTTATTTTTATTTTTATTTTTTTCATTTATTTTTTTGGTGATTAATTCCCTCAATTGAATTTTTGCTTCTCGTTTTTTTATTTAAATTATAAATACAATAAAACATACATATGGTGCATTTTTGTATTCTTTAATTATTATTTATTTATTTATTTTTATTTTTTGCAAGCCAAGCTTTTCTAAAATTTGCTAGAGAAATCTTCATGTGATGTTTGTATCTATAATCTACACATTTTTTCTTTTCTTTTTTTCCTCGATAAAACTAAAACCAAATGATCAGTTTACTGTTTTTTTTTTTTCACTTCTTACACACATTTTTTAGCATTATTCATACACACTTATTTAGACTATGCATTTTACAGTCTGCAACTAAGTTTGTCAAAAGTTTTGCACTTTGGGCCCTCATCTGTTCAGAGACTTTTGTTTTGCTCTTGAACTTCATTTGTGTTGCATTTTGATTCTAACAACTTAGAAGAAAAAGAAACAAAGAAAGAGAGAAGTAGGGAGAGACAGAAGGATGATGAGATTTGTTGCAGCTACTTTAATTGTCGAACTCATCACCATTTTATTTGTTTTGAAGATAAAAATTCGTTTATGGTAGTTATAAGTCATGAAATATTAGAAAGAGGCAGATCGGAAGTCCAAAATATTTGAGTTTTTTTAATTTTGATTTAAATTTTTACATGCATTAAA